AAACAAAAAAAAAAAAAAAAAAATTAAAACAACAACAAAGCTGGGCATGGCGGTGTGCATCTTCAATACCAGCACTTGGGAAGCAGAAACAGGCAGATCTTTGTAGTTCAAGGCCAGCTGGAGCTCTAGACAACCCTATGAAAAAAAAAAAAAAAAAAGCAATAACAACAACAAAAAAAACCCCACTATCTCAACCTTCACTGTCTGTCTAGACACAATGTCCAGCATTTGTCAGTTATGAAAGAACCAACATAGAGAGGAAACTACCACAGTCAAGTAAAAAGACCATCAGCACCAGATCCACAGCAACTGTGGAGCAGTACTTCACTGTTTAACATGTCACCCACTGGAGCCCCAGGTGGAGAAGAGGTAAGGAGGCAAAAGAAACATTTAAAGTGATAACGGCCAGTCTGATCATTCATTACACACCATACACATACACTGAAATCACACGATAGCCTATAAATATGTAAGTACTGCATCTCAATAAAAATACATATATTTAATACAATGGGAATAATAATGTCAATAATTAATAAAGTGTAGGTAGAGTGGTACATAACTGTAATCTCAGCATTCAAGAGGCAGAGGCAAGAGGGTCACTACAAGTGTGAGGCTAGCCTGGTCTATAGCAAGATCATATCTCCAACAAACAAGCAAAAAATAACAAAAATAGAAAATAACAGCCGTGAGCTGTCATAGAACTCTCTAAACTAGAAAAAAAAAATACCCAAGCATAACAAAAAACCTAAGTATATCATACCAAAATGGATCAAAACCAAGAGAGAAAGAAAAATCTTTAATTAGACAAAAGTCAGAGTCAGAAGACTATCACAGGGAAGAACAAAGAAAAGACACCAAACTTCTCATTAAAAATACAAACAAAACTGTAAGGAGTAGCATCTTTAAAGTACTAAAAGAAAAAAGTCTGACCAGCAAAACTACCTTTTAAGAAGGACCAAGACTAAGAAGATATGAAGTAAAACCTTTCCAAACTGGAATATTCCTCTCTGCCCCAAAGATGCCGTGCACATACGAAGTCACAGTTTCTAGCACATTTCCAGGAGTCATGTGCTCTTGTTTCTTTCTCTTTGACCTACAAGGTAGATGCTCCAAGGACGGAGCCTGGCTGCTTAACATCTGCAGTGCTAGTTTTAGACATGACTAAGTGCAGTAGTGGACTTTTCATTAACACAGCTGATGATGGATGACTGCTGGGGCTATGTCGGAGGAATGAGGGAAAGCCAAAAGCGAAGACTAGGACTGGAGCTCAGGAATTAGTTGACGAGAAACCTAGCAACTGAAAGACGAAGTTGAGATAACGCCCTCAGACAATTATGCTGTTTCCCAAAAACAATAGCTGATACAACAGCACACAAGTCTGTGCACACATGTGCACACCAAAACATCAGAGCAGAACAGTGCAGTCACCATGTCATAGTACTTCTATTTGTTCAGAGAAAATGTTTGGATAAGAACAATAAATTTGGGGGCTGAAGAAATGGCTCAGCAGTTAAGAGCACTGGCTGTTCTTGCAGAGGACCTGGGTTCGATTCCCAGCACCCACACGGCAGCCAACAACCATTCATAACTCCAGTTCCAAGGGAATCTGATGCCCTCTTCTGACCTCTGTGGGTATTACATGACACGGGTATACTTTTATGCATGCAGGTAATACACTCATACACAAAAATAAAAACAAACACTATAAAAAAGAACAATAAATTTTGAAGGAAGTCTTAAGCTAACAACCTAAAAGATATTTTATAATATAGAGAAAAATCAAAGGTCAAACGTGTATAATACACTGAGGCATAGGAAATAACATGAGCCAGTACATGAAAGGGGTTTCTGATAATACAGCTAAGTAGGCAACGAAGGAAGGAACACATGTGAAGACAGGATGCTAATGAGCTAAAGACTGTCACCCACGAAAGCCAGATCCTTTCCAACTAAGGTGAACTATGGGACCCTCCGGTGGAGTAAAAGAAGAGAAAGAAAAGAAAATTCCTTCTAAAGCAGAACAAAGTCCAAGGGAACCATGTACCTGTTAATGACCCAAGTGCCTCTTATCGTTCAACATGCCCAGGAACCAGAGAAAGGCTCTTACATCCTAGAATCTTACCCCCTACAGAATCCTTCTCCAAAATCCATGCATAAGTATATCACGAAGTTGAAGCAGAGAAAGCATGTGTACTTGTCAAGTATCTGGGGAAATCTGGACCTCAACTTGAAAGCTCTGACACCAAGTCATACCGCCAAACAATCAGGACTAGAGTTCCACTATTACTAGTGTAGTAAAATTACTTATAAAAGGTATGACTCCCAACCTTTCTGATGTTATCAATGACTAGGATATTTCATGTGTTGTATATGCCCCACAGTACTAGAACAGTGTTCAAGTTTGAATGAGAAGTGTCCCCCACATGTTCATGTACTTGAACACTTGGTCCCCAGTTGCTGGTGCTGTTGAGGAGATTTTGGAGGTGCAGTCTTGCTA